ATTTTATTCTGTTTTTATACTTTTTTTTTATTTTTTATATAATATATCTTCTAATATATAAATTTATTATTTATCTTAAAAATATAAATATATATATATGTATATTTATTAATTCAATTATATACATTAAATTAATAAAAATAATTTTTTGCGCTATATCTAATAATTTTAAAGTTAATAATCATTATCAAAAATTAAATAAATCTGACCATATAAAATACCATAAAAAAAAATTTAAAAAATTAATTTAAAAAACTAATATACTATTTACAAAAAATTATGTTAAAAAAAAAAAAAAAAACCATAAAAATTTTTATTTAAAAAAAATAAAAAAATTAAAAAATCAAACTTATGACTATAAAATATAATTAGAATCTATAAAAAGTTCTTCATTTTTCATTTCATTTTTAAACTAAAAAATAAACTCACCAAAATCTTAACGGACAATATCTTTTATTTTCTCAAACTAAAATACCTTACCCATATTAAGGAAAAACGAATTCCCCAAAAAACCTTATTTTACTTTTTTAAAAGCACAAACTTTCAAAAGCTTAATATTTTCCCTAAATTTTAACTTAACCTATACTATTACTTCCAATATTAATAGTTTCATTTTATTTTCCGATATTTTACTATTAAATAAATGCAAATCCAGCCCTAATAATTTAAATTCTTTAAAAATTATTATTATTATTATTATTTAATTCTTAAAAAATCATATTGTTATTATTATTATGATTTAAAGAAGTATAAAAGGTATAAATATTATTATCACTTTCATTTTCATTAAAAAAGCAAGTAACAATAAAATCTAATTTATTTTTAAAAATAATATGTTAAACTTAAAGTTATTCATTCTCACTAATTTTATTCACTTATATTAATTTATTATTATTTAAATTTTTAATAAAACTAAAAGCTTTTTATTAACAACAATCTACTTCGAATTCTCCTTTTAAAACATAAATAGAATTATTTTTTGTGCTTTTTAAATATATTTTTTCTTCCATATTTTCATGTATTAATTATCCTGAGTCTTCATTCCATTTTAAATCAGTATTTATTCGACCAATTTCTTCTATATTTTATTAATAAAAGGAAAAACATTATCCCTCCTTATGTTCGTCCATTTATTAACATTCTTTAAAATGAGGTACATGGTCCAAACATTCATATTGATTTTAAAGAGATTTCATTTTGGATTTATCATCAAATGTAAAATCGAAATTCGAAAGCCCTGGATTTGAATATTATTGACATATATTTTAGTTTATTTGCATTTTTGGTTGTTCTTTTTATGTTTGGATTTAATTTTTGGGCCTATAGTTATTTTATATACAACATTATAGTAATTAATTTCCCATTTTTTTATTTTTTGGTTTTAATAATTGGTATTATTAGGTTTAAGTAAAATAAAATACATATATATTTTTTATTGAATTTTATATAAATTTTTATATTTAAAAAAAATAAAAATTATTAAATATTTTTTTTTTTATATTTAAAATAAATATATATATAAATAATGTGTATTTTTTTTATTTTTTTTATGATTAATAAAAATATGAAATATTTTTTTATTTTGTCTCATTCTTTTTTCTTTTAAATAATCCTTACTTTTCCACTTTACATTTTTTCCAAAAGTTTTTATTTACTAATAGTAGAATTAAAAGAAGGACTACTAATTGAAGAAGATATACTATTATTTATAAGTTCTTCATTATTTTTCATTTAAAAAATAGCTAAAGTATTATTTTATTATATTTTGTAACTATTATTATGTCCTTCAATTTATTATTTGTTTAAAATTTATGATTAAACAAGCCTTGGTTTTGCAGTAATATCTAAATGATTTCCCTAAATTTATTAATATTATACTTTTTCAGAATATCTTTAACATATTAAACTTTAATTATTAGTAATATTTGGTTAATATTTACTAATAATAACTTATATAGAGGGGTCTAAAAGTTATTTCATTTATTCATTTTATTATTATTATATTGATAATTATTATTAATTATTCTATAAAGATTGTTTTTCAAGAATTATAGAATTATTAACTTTTTAATTTATATCGGAATTTTATGAATAATATTATTATTAAAATTAATCTTATTATTTATTGTTAAAAGGATTATTACTATAATATTAATTATATGAAGAATTTTAAGATATTAATTATTGTGAATTACTCAAATTTTATTACTGTATATATTATTATTAATAGGAATTATTTGTATGTGATGAATAACTATTATTAATAAGATAAGATTAAAAATTATTATTGTTATTATTATTATTATTATTATTATTATTATTATTATTTAAATGATTTTATTAATTATTACTATGAATTATATTATTTTTTATATTATTATTTATATTACTATTTATTTATGATTAAATATTGTCTATTTTTTAATAATTATTATTATTATTCAATAAAGGTATATAGTTATTTATTTATTTCGTTATATAATTATTATCATTTGTTTATAATGGCTTATAATCATTATCTATTAATGTAGTGAAATTATTTATTTATTATGTATTATAATTATTTATTTATTAAATATTTTAATTTTATATTTATTATGAATTATAACTATTAAAATTATTAATTTAATGATTATTATTATTAGTATTAATGTTTTATTAAGAAATATAATTATTATATTATATTTACTAATTATTATTATTTATATATTAATTGAATTTATTATTATTTTGTTAAATATTTTAATTACTACTATTTACTTAAGAATTATAATTAATATTTTGTATTTAAGAAGAAAACTCATTATTATAATTTTGTAATTATGTTGTAAAATTAAATTATTTAGAATCATCATCTTTATAATTAGAATATTAATTAATTTATTTATATTAACTATTAATATTTTACTAATTCTTATTTAAATTATCATTTTTATGAATATTTTTTTAAATTTCATAAGTATTAATTTTTATCTAGGTTTAACTATAATCTTACTAATATTTATTTTAAATTCTATCATTAATATATATTTAGCTTTCTTTTTTCTATCCTACACTATCAAAATTATTAAGACTAGGTATAGGTGATTTATCTCTTGAAGATGAAGAAGCTTAGAAATCATAAGGATCATCATCTTCTTTTAATTCATTAAAGGAATTTTTTCTTTCTTTATTTCTATTAAAGGAATTTTTCCTAACTAAATTTCTATTAGGAAGTTTGGGTCCAAAACTTGGCGAATTTTCCTTTTATGAATTCTAATTTTATTATTATTATAAAACTAGTATATTTAACTAATTTTTTTAAGATAGTTCTTCAATTATTTTTAAAAGAGAGATTTTTTATTTATTTAAAAATAGAATTTCCGCCTCGTTTTTTTCACTAATTTTTTAGTTAGAAAATTTTATTAAAGTCTTTTATTATTCTTCCTTTAATTTTTATAAAATATTCGCCTTTTAATGTTTTAGAAAAGTCTATTGTTCATTTTCATGTTAATTTTTGAGAAATTATTCATGTTAAATTTTCTATAATTCAATATTTTTTACAAAATTTTCATATTCAATTTAATTATTTTTTTACATTTCTTCATATTTTTATATGCTTTTTTCTAAAAAATCTCCTCCTATTTCATTCTATATTTTTAACTTATCTAAATTCTAGTTTAAATTGAAAATTTCATTTCTTAAATTCTCTAATTATTATTGTTATAAAATCATCTCGCTTTATTATTGTTGTTTTTATTATAAAATTACACTCTCTTTTTATATATCTTAACTTATAAAAAACTTCTTTTCTTCCAGTCTTTTTTTTAATTCTTCCTAAGCTTTCATTTTTAGTTCATCTCCGGTAATATTTGTATATTTTTTATAAAGTTAATTCATTATTTATTCCATATTTTTTTATTTTATATCTATTTTTTCGTCTTATTATGTGTTTTTCTAAATAATTATTTTTTATGGAATTTCTGATGTCTTTTTTTCTTATAAAAGTACAGTTTCGTATTTCGTTTTATCCATTTTTATTACATTTTCTTAAGGATTTATTATTAAATATTAATAGTCTTCTATTTTTTGTTATTTTAAGTTATTTTCTTAATTATTATTTATTATTTCGTATATATTCTAATTACTATTTGAATAATTGTTTGTTTTTTATATTATATTTTGATAATTTTAATATTAATTATTATTATTTTCTACATTTTCTATTTTTTAGACTTCTTAATTTTTATTGTTATTTATATTTTAACTATTATAATTATTAATTCCGAAAAATTGATTTGAATTATTATCTATATAAGGATAAAAATTATTTATTATTGGAATTTTTAAATTTTCTATTTTTTATTTTTCTTCATTTTTTTAAATAAATTCATCTATTTATCCATATTGGTTTTTAACTTAAATTTATTGAGTTTCTTGAATTATTTCTTATTATTTTTAAATTATTTCTTCTTTTTTTAAAGGACTTTTTTATTATTTTTAATCAATTAATTCTTAATTTTATTTATTTTTTTAAGGGCTTTCTTATTATTTATAAATATTTAGTACTTGTTATTATTATTGAGTGTTTTCATATTATTTTTAAGGACTTTCTTTTTAATTTTAAATATGTTTTTATTCTTATTAATTATTTATAATTTCTTATTATTTTTATTTTAAAGGACTCTATTATTATATAGAAATAATTGATTATTATTTTTATGGACTTTACTATTTATTTTATTGAATTTCTTATTATTAATATGTATTTTCTATTTATTTATGAGGACTTTTTTGTATTTTTTAAGAAAATTATGTTTATTTTTATGGAGATTATATTTATTTTTTAGGAGATTCTTTATATGTTAAAATATCTTATTATTTTATGAAATTTTCTGATAAATAATTTTAAGGTATTACAATAGAATTTTCCTCTATATTTTCTTCAATATCACAAGGGGAAAATTCATTAGATGATTTTCTGTATTTTTTTTCTTAAGAATTTTAATTTTTTTCAATTTCTTTTTTTTCTATTTAAGGCGAATACTATTCTTTTAAAGGAATATTATTTTCTTATTGTTCAATTTAATATATATTTATTTCTTGATATATTTAATCTTTATTTTGTTCTTATGATTATTCTTTATATTTTTCTTCTTAAATTAATTCTTTATTTATATCTTCTTAAATTTAAACTTTCTCTTATATTTAGATTTTCTCTTTAATTTATTCCTTATTTTCATCTTTAATTTATTCTGTATTTTCATGCTCTTTTTAATCTGATATTTCAACTTAATCTTGCTATATTTCCAGTTATAATTATTTTTCTTCTTGATTATTATCAAATATAGGCTTTTCATTAATTTATAAATTAGTATCATTATATTATTTATTTTATATAGTCTATTGTAAAGTTTATTAATCAAATTCTTTATTAATTTATTAGACTTAATCTTTGTAAAACTCTTCTTTGTTTTCAGAGTTAATATTAACACTTTAAATATTATTAATAACTAAATTTCCTTATTACTAATTAAAGTTATTTTAATCAATTTCTATTTATTATAATTATTCACCTTAAATAACTTAATATTAAGATTTTTCAATATTTTAAATTTCTTAATTATCATTTAAATTATTTTCTTCAGTAGTTATTTAAACCTCTTTTTTTTCTTAATCTTCAATAAAATTTTACTCTATTATTTTTTCCTCTTTTGTCAAATTTTCCTCTCTTATTTAGTTTTCTCCTTTTATTAAGTTTTCATCTTTTATTATATAGTTTTCCTCTTTTATTTAATTTTCCTCTTTTATTAAGTTTTCATCTTTTATTATATAGTTTTCCTCTTTTATTTAATTTTCCTCTTTTATTAAAATTTCCTCTTTTATGTAATTATCATCTTTTATGTAATTATCCTCTTTTATTAAGATTTCCTCTTTTAATTAATTATCCTCTTTTATGTAGTTATCCTCTTTTATTAATATATCTTCTTTTAATTAATTGTCTTCTTTTATTTAATTATTCTCTTTTATTATTATATCTTCTTTTAATTAATTGTCTTCTTTTATTTAATTGTCATCTTTTATTAAGATTTCCTCTTTTAATTAATTGTCTTCATTTATTTAATCTTCCTCTATCAATTTTTCTTCCTTTATTAAATTTTCCTCTTTTATTTAATTTTCGTCTACCAATTTCTCCTCTTTTATTTAATTTTCGTCTACAAATTTCTCCTCTTTTTCCTCTATTAATTTTTACTATTTTATTAAATTTCCTTCTTTTATTAAATCATTATCACCTTCTTTTTCTTAAATATTTTATTTTTCATAATCAATACTACTATCTGCTTATTTTTTCTACTTTTCTTAAAAATGTAAAAACATCTATCTTTAATAAATATACTCAGGTTTTTATCTCATAACTTCGGCTGTTTTTTACCTTTCATATTCTTTATAAATAGCCATTTCATCTTCATCTTCATTAGCGTCCTATATTCCTTTTCCATCTAAAAAATTCTCAAAATCCCCTAAATTTCTGCTCTATTTTTCTCTATGAAAATCCACTATATTGACCACAAAATCCGCAAAAACCTTACTTTAATTCATTAATTCTCTACATTAAACTAATAAAAGTTCTGTAATTTTAATAACATAACACAGAAATCCTTTAGTAGTCTTCCTATATGGTTTTCTCAAATTAAAATAAAAAACAGAATCTTCAGTTTTTTAAATCATTAATTAAATAATCCCTATATCCTTTAATAAATGTTCTAAATAATCCTTGTTTTGGCTCAAAAAACACATCATTGATAAAACTAAATTATGCATTATATTATTCCATTCAAAAAAGAAAAAAATATCTAAAACATTCTCCAATATACGGCTTTAAATTAAAACTTCGCGGATACAAGGGAACTAAATACGGATTATTTAATTCAAAAGTTCAATTATTTTAAGCCTTTCTAATCCCAGTTTTTTCTCTTAGGGTTATATTTTTAATAAATCTTTTATTTTTGGTATGTTTTCGACTAGAAATTATAAATAAGCAGTACTTTCATACTATTAGAGCATTATTTAGTAATATTCAGAATCTTCAGAATAACCAGAAATAAAATTGTTTGCATTATAAGCATAATATTGAGCTAAACTAGACAAAATTTAACAAGTGCCTAATTTAGATTATTTATTTCCTTCAAAAAGAGCCTATTTTAAAAAAGATATTATCTTTTCACCACATAAACTTTCAAGTATTTCTTTACCAGCCAATATACAATAATGCTTATTTAATATTTCTTATATTATAAGAGAGAAATTTGTTATTTCTTCAAAATTTTTAAAATAAAAATTTTTAATAAAATCTTCAATAGCGTTTACTTTTATCTCCATTAATTTTTTAAATTAATTTTAATTAGTAATTCTTATTTTATTATTATCAAATAAAAATAAATTTTATATTACTTAAACTATTTATATGAAAATAGATATATATATATAAAAATAAAATATATAATAATATAAATATATATATATATATATATATATATAAATAAATATATTTTTTTATATTTAATATTTAAATATAATATAATTTTTATATATTTTATACATATAGATTCGTTTCCTATATTTTTTATTAATGCATCTAAAACTCCATTTTAAGTTAATAAATAATCCATTGTATCTTTTGGTTTCATATTAAATAAAATAATTACTAATTTCGCCCAATAACCAGCTAATACATCATTTAAATTTGATTTTTCGAAAATAAATTCGAATAATAAATTCATATTTGGCCAATTGAATTTTTTTAAAATTTTGTTATTTTAATCATCATCTATTTAATCTAAAGATTAAAATTGTATTCTTTAAGTAATAAAAAATTATACCATCATAAAAGGCAATTGTACATCAAAAATTTCACTAGCAGCCTATGGATATTTAAAAACTCGATTTTTATCACCACATTCAGGTATTTCTACTGTTATATATTCTATTAGCTTTTATATTAATCGAATATTTTGCTTGAAAAAATCTATTACTTTTGGATTTTGTCGCTTTAAATCGTTTATTAAATCAGAACTTTCAATTAATAAATCGTCTAATAAATCGAATGGAGTTTTATTTTCTAAATTTTCGAGTATTTTATCAATTTAATATTCGTGGAATGGTTCTTGCTCTTCTTCTTACATATTTTTTTATTTTTTTATATTTTTTATAATATTTTATATGTGTTTTTTTTTAATATATATTTTTTAATAGTATTTTTATAATGATAGAAGAGAGAATACAATAATTATAAATGATTTATGTTAATATAAAAAAAAAATATATATATTTTTTTTAAAAAAAAATAAAAAAAAATTATTTAGTTTAATAAAAATATTTTTTTTATTTTTTTTATGATTATTTTTAATACAAAATATATATATATATATAAATTTTATATAAAAATTCTATAAATTAATATAAAATGATTAAAAAAATAAAAAAATAATATTATTTTAATATTATTATCAAAAAAAAAAAAAAATTGTTTTTTATAAATTATTAAAGAAATAATATTTAAAAAAAATACATAAAATAATTAAATAATATAAATTATTCACTAACAAATTAAAACTTTTATACTACTTTTTAATATAATTTTTTTTATTATTTATTATAATTAATATTATTATTATTATTATTATTATTATTATTATTATTATTATTATTAATTTATTAATATTTTTATTATTATTATAATTATAATTATATTTTTAATTTCTTTTATTTTTATATGTTTTTAAATAATTTATATATTTTATAAATAATATTTTTTTATTTTTTTTTAATATAATAATAAAATATAATTTTTTTTATTTAATTATTATTCTTGTAAGAAAAATCAAAAATATCTTTTTTATTATTAATAAAAAATCTGAAATCTAAATTATATTTATTATATTTATGTTATTAATTTTGATTCAAATTTATATTTATATATTTTATATATCTATAATAATTCAATTTATGTTTTTTTAATAAATTTAAATGATATTTTATATAAAAATTTTATAATAATAATTTTTTTTAATTTAATATATATTTTTATATATATTATTTCTGTAAAGTTATATTAATATTTATTTTTTTAAACATATGTAATTTCTTAATTATTTTGATAATAGTTATTCATAATTCATAACTTATAAAAATAAATTTTTATTTTATTTATTAATTTTTTTTTTATTGTTTTGAATATTATGTTTTTATAATTATTACTTAAAAATAAATAAATAAAATAATTTTATTATTATATAATATATATATATATATTATTATATATATATATATATTTATATATTTATATATAAATATTCTTATATAACTTATATTTCTTAATATCTTTATTATATATCTATAAATATAATCTTTATTATTATTCAAATATATTATTGTGTTTACTAATCATTATAATTATTTACATTTTTATTATTATTATTGTAAATTTTATTACACATTTATTCTTTTTTTATTTAAAAATTAAAATTTATATCAAAATAATTATTATTATTTTTAATAAAATAATCTTCATCATAATGATTTTCATAATTTAGTTTTAAAGCTTTTTAAAATTATGTGTTAAAGGTTATCTAACTATCTCTTTTAGAATTATACTAAATATCAGTTTTTTCTGAGTCTTTTTTTTTAATTTTTTTAATACTAACTCCATTATTGATATTATATTTTTTTTATAAATATGAATAGAAACGATTTTTTATCATATTTTCAGGCCTTCCTTTTAAATAAGTAGAAATTTCAGTCCATTTAGCTCCTATCTATTTATAAATACTAATGATTTATAAATCTTCACTATCACTCCATTTTTAATTATTAATATTACAATCTAATTTATTAATATATCTATTATTAGATGAAAAAATAGATAATAAAATTTAATAAAAATTAAATTAAAAAAATGTATATTATATATTTAAACACATTTTTTTACCTTTCTTTAACTTATTTAGCAGTTCTGTTTTCAATAAAAGAAGCTATTTAACTCCAATTATTTTAATATATTTAATAATATTTTAAAACTAACATATCTTCATTTTTAGTCCAAGGAATTCTCATTTTATTTAATTTTAGCCTATTCCATCTTTATCTGCATTAAGATTAATTTCTACCCTAAATATGTTAACAAATTAAATTCCATTTCCTATTATATTTCTCGTAATAATATTTTAACTATTCGTCTTCTTCTTTAGTCCATTATTTTACGATTTTTTTATATTTTTTTTCAAAGTTTTATTATTATGTCTATTCTTCCATATCAAAATCCAAAAAACTCTCAATTTAATTATTTTAATTTATATTTTCATCCTCATTTTTATGCTCTTTTATTTTATCAAACACTTATTACTAATAAACTAAAGGGAATATAGGAATTTCTTCATAAGATGCCGTTCTTGGATAAAGCTGAATTTATTTTACTTATATACAATCTATTAAATTTTTAGTTGTTTAATCTTCTAAGCTTTTTATTTGACTTTGACCTATTAAAAATTCTTTCTTTGCATATCCGGAACTGTACTTTGTTCAGTTGTTTATTCCTTTTATGAACCACGACAACAACAGGCATTTTCAAAAAAATTAAAAAATGACATAATTATTTTATTTTATTTTATTTCATTTATTGAGAAAATATTATTGGAGAAAATAAATTAAAATATACAATACTAAAAATTGGAAAAAAAAAAAAAAAAGCAAAAACAAAAAAAAAATAAATAAATTTTTAATATTTTTTAAAAAAGTTCTTTTTTAATAAATATATAAGTATGTATTATATGAAATAAAAATTTAAAAGTTAAAAGTTAATATAAATTATTTAAATTTATTGTTAAATTTTTATTTTATATATATATATATTTAATCTCTTTGTGTAAATGAGGATTTAATAATAATTCTTTTTTTTTAATTTTAATTTATTTAATATTATTTTGTTTTGGAAAGGTTATATATATATTTGAATAATTTTGATTATTTTGTCTATTAGTTTTTAAAAAAAATATATTAGTTAAATAATTTAATTATTTGATTATTCTTTTATTTAAATATATTTAAATATAATATTAATATATTTAATATATGAATCAATAAATTTATAAGAAAAATATTATAAAATAACAATAATTTAGAACTAAAAAAAATTTTATCTATTATTATAAAATTATTCGAAATGTAATAAATAATATACAATTTTTTTTTATTTAAATAATAAAAAAAAAAAAAATATTGAATAGTAGATTTATATTTCTATAGAATAAAAATACTTAAATTAATCTTCAAAACTATATAATAAGGATCTTTTTTTATTTTTGAAGTAATTTTATAAAAATAATAATAAAATAAAAAAACACTTGTAAATATATGAATATAATGAATATTTAACTTAGTTTAACAAAAAAATATAAGTATAGGGTATAGGATAGATAAATTGATAGAATAAAGACATAGAAAATGAACAAGATGGGGTTTAGTGCGTATCTTATAACTGTAAGATAAAAAGAAAAATAAGATAATCTGAAGTTGGATGTATATAATAGAGATAAAAAAAAATAGTAAATTATGTAGACAAAAAGGTAATTAGTGAATATAATAACTTTCATAAAAAAAAAGAACATGTATATCTAAAAATTAATAAAATTTGATATGTAAAATACAAAAAGTCTAATAATTGATAATAAAAAAAAAAATTAAGAAAATAAAAAATTAATGTAAAAAATATTAATTTAAAAATTGTTAAAATTAGGTTGATAAAAAAATAGATTAAATATAAAAAAAATAAGAAATATATAAAAAAAAATATAAAAATATATATATTTAAATATAAATATATATATATATTTATATATAAAGATTAATATTTATTTTTTAAATATATTATATTAATATTTCAAATAATTATTTTTTATAATTATTTTTGTATTTATATTTTTTTTAAATATTTTATTTTATAATTTAACTGCTTTTTTTTATTTAATAAATATAATGGATTCTTAATAATTTTTACTTAAATCTAAAAGTTATTCTATACAGCATAATATTTAAAATAGTAAATAAAATAACATTTCTGAAATGAAATAAAGATAATTGTTAAATCATAAAAAATTATTTTAAAATTTTAATCATTCATAAAATATAAAAATGAATTCA